TGTCAAATTCGTTAGAAAAAAAGGGGGAGGTTCGACCTCAACCATCTGAATCCAATGGTTACTGTTCCATTGGTGTTTCTTCAAAAGTGTTTTTAAAAATATCATTACAAATAAAAAATATATTGTAAAGAATGTAGGAATGTCCTTTACCCAAATGACAACACCAAGATATCTCGTCAGCAACTTCCAAGTCATTATTTATTCATTCTTCCTATATCCTATCAGTTAACAAGTTAGAGCGCATGCCATTTCTCTGTCTAAATATCATATAACTAAATACATTTGATGTTATATACATTTGTATTTACTCTCGGTAAATGAAAAGGGGTGTGTAAAATGTACAATATGAAATTTGTCATATATATACAATACAAAATTATAGTACACAAGGTTTGGGCTGTCTGTTGTACTGTCCAATATTTTTGATAATTCTTGTTATCTATTTTTCTATATTATGACATAATTATATCAACAAATCAGAAGAACGGAACGCTTCCTTATGGTGCTAAAATTTAAATTTAGAAAAAAGGTTGTCCGCAAGGAACTATTATATGGGCATATACTCCAGTTGACAAAGAATTTCAAGTATTAAAAGGGTAATTTTCATAATGTTTCAACTGAAGTTTAAATTAAACATTGGTATCCAAAAGAAGCTTAAAACTTCTGCACTTCATCTCTTTTCGAGTAGTATAAATTCTGCACTTCCATGAGTCAGCTATCAAAACACCATCAAATTCACGAAACAGACATCTTGCCTATAATTGCTTACATCAACTTCATTTAAACTTTGATGGATAGTTCAACTTGTCTCATTGGCAATCATACCACATCTCCTTATTTTTATATCTCTTTATTGTAATGATCTATCAAGTCATGAATTATCCACATATTCCTACTTTACATGACCAACACGACGACTTCCACTAATGAAAAAGATTCTGCATACATCCTCGGATGACCTGATATCATCCTGGTGTTTGGTTGGGTTCGTGTTGCTCAATCCTTAGTTTTCTGTGTAGCGTGATGCAGTTTGCTGTTTGCCTTTTTGCTGTCTTTCTTTTTGACCACGGTATTATCTGTGTTTCTTTGGCTTATATTTTTATGGTCTTGATATCTTCCGTCTAATGTTTTTTTATTATATAAGTAAACTCATATTCAATGGTTTTGGAGTAGTAAGCTTAAAACCAAGAATTTATTTAATATCGCCAATATAAGTAACTATAGACCACCGTACGGCCTTCAACAATGAGCAAAGCCCATACCGCACAGTCAGCTATAAAGGGCCCCGAAATGACAATGTAAAACAATTCAAACGAGAAAACTAACGGCCTAATTTATGTACAAAAAATGAACCGAAAAAACAAATATGTAACACATAAACAAACGACAACCACTGAATTACAGGCTCCTGACTTGGGACAGGCACATGAATACAGAATGTGGCGGTGTTAAACATGTTAGCGGGATCCCAACCCTCCCCCTAACCTGGGACAGTGGTGTAACAGTACAACATAAGAACAAACTATACAAATCAGTTGAAAGTCAAACTAAGTTTGGTTTATACTTTCTATAAAAATAATATTACATTGTAACCGTACCAGTTTTTTTTCTGTACCAGATCTGCATTTCAATAATTGCCCTACCGAAGCAGATGAGATCAACCCCCGTATTTTGTGGTATTCGTGATCCTCAGTCTTTAACTTTCTATGTTGTGTTTTGTGTAATGTTGTTTGTATTTCGGTCGTTTTTTTTCTTTTTTTTTTCCATGGCATTGTCATTTCGTTTTCAACTTATGAGTTTGATCATCTCTTGGTATCTTTCGACTCTGTTTAATGCATCTTTATTGATACCCTAGGCAAAATTGTTTGAAAATCAAAAACTAAAAACAAATCGTTGAAGAGCTGATGAAACAAACTAGAGGCTCTCAAGAGCCTGTGTCGCTCACCTACATGTATATCTACTGTGGTTTTGGAAATCATGTAAAATAAGGTTAAAATCATAATAAATAGTATTATATACCCCAATAATGATAGAAACCAAGTTGAGTTTAATTTGGCCAAGTAGTTAAATTAAAAGCAGGTCATCCCATTGTAGTCTTACAATAGTTAGTTTTCAAGTTGTGACCATTTGAAATTGTAGTTTTACAATTTTCCCATAGACTTCTATAGTAAGCCCCTATGTTCTATTTTTAGCCATGGCGGCCATCTTGGCTGATGAGCGGGGTCATCGGATACATTTTTAAAACTAAATACCCTAAGGATGATTTAGGCCAAGTTTGGTTTTATTTGGCCCTGTAGTTTCAGAGGAGAAGATTTTTATAAAAGTTAACGGACGACAACGACGGACGACGACGACGACGGACGCCATGTGATGAGAAAAGCTCACTTGGTCCTTTTGGGCCAGGTGAGCTAAAAAGGGCCAACAGAAAAACCTTAATCGGTTAAGGAATCAAAGCTATGTGCGAAGGAGATAAATTATTTAATCTAAAAGATATTTCGTTGGCCATTCATTTTCAAGTAACAAAAAGTGAAATAGCAAAAATACCGAACTCCAAGGAAAAATTAAAACGGAAAGTCCCTTAACAAATGGCAAAATGAAAAGCTCAAAAACATCAAACGAATGGAAAACAGCTGTCATAGTCCTGACATGGTACAGGCATTTCCTTATGTAGAAAATGGTGGATGAAGCTTTGTTTTTATAGTTAGGTAAACCTCTCACTTGTATGACAGTCGCATAAAATTGCATTAATGTCTTCAATCTGTCTTTCAGTTGATATAATTAAAATGAGGAATATGTTTGTAAATGTTTTAAACTATTGCACAAGGAGAGGGTCTTAGATTTTACGGTACGCTTACAGATCTATTGAATGAGCAGGTGTCCATATCTGATTCCAATTACCTGTAGAGGAGTTGGAATTACAGTAGTTTTGAGGCCCGGTTTGGGTTTCTGATTATATAGATTTTAAAAATTTGGAAAAAATGTGTGGTGAAGCATTAGAGCCAAAAGCAGCAATATAACGTTGTTTGAAAGAACTCTTAGATAATTAGGTTATCCAGTAGAGTTCTTCGTCGATGGTGAAAATTCTAAAGGAACATAAATTTCAGATAGCCATATTAGTGTAAAGGGTTTCCTCTTTAGTTAGTGCCGTATGAGAATCATTAGGTTTCGAAGTTAAGTTTGAATACATTTACCTTATTACTTTCCCAAGCAATTGATTTTGCAAAATATCTGCGATTAATAAACAAAAACCTTCATTTTGAACTTCGTCTACTGGGACAAGAACAAAAGTATCACGAATTTTGGACAAGTGCCGAGGTGCTAAAAGTGACAGCGAAAAGGAGAGGACTGATTCCAAGGCAATAGAATTTTGAATCAAGGAAGTCAATAAACTCGATGTCCAAAAACTCACGGGCAAAAAGACCACAGTCAATATGACACGACACCGTGAGGAATACAAACTATAAAAAAGGGAGTAGAGTCATTTAGTTTAAATTTGTTTGGTTTTTAGTCCAGCTCTATTTATGTGTTTATTTTATTGTTTTGTACATAAACTCTACTGGATACCCTAATCATCTAGTAATTGTTCTTACAAACAACGTTTTTACGTTTCACATTTCTGATTTCGGTGCCTTTATAGCTTGCTATGGGGTATGGGTTTTGCTCATTATTGAAAGTCGTACGGTGACCTCTTGTTACTTACCTCTACGCCATTGTGTCTCTGGTGGATAGTTGTCTATGGTAGATATTTGTATCATTGGCAATTATACCACATCTTTTTATTTTTCATATACAAACAATCACTAATTTTTCAATTAGATCGATTGTTGTGAGTTTGAACAAAAAAAGCAGACATTTATAGACATTTTGGTCTTTTTTTTTTATAATCAATGAATACAATGAAGACTGTAAGATATATATCAAATAATTCAGTTAGAAATTACCAGTGAGATGTAAATATATAATCCTTTAATATTTGTCATTACAAGTTGCTTCATACATGGGGTGTGAATAGGGGTTTACAGAATAGAGAATAATGGGCAAAAAATATAAAGAATAAAGAAAAATGGACCAAAATAATAAAGAATGGTAAATAATGAGGTGCTAAAATATAAAGATTAGAGAATAATAGACAAAAAGTATAATGAACAGAGAAAAATGACCGAAAAAATTAAAGACTACAGAAATGAAGGATCCCCATCCAGACCCTCATACATGATCATAGTCTGCTGATGCGTTGTCCGATTCTTTTAGACTGTTCACGTGTAGCTTATCATAAAATGTTTCATTGCTATGATAGTCAGAATTCATTGATTGATCGTATACTGATTGGTCATTGTATTCTTCCAGTCTGTTCGAGTGAAGTTGATCATAAAAGGTTTCATGTACATCGCAGTCCAAATGTGTTTGCTTTTGTTCATCTGATTCATTTGCTTGAACTACAAAATATCCAGGCTGAGAAATATTTCCGAAATTCCTTGAAGACACTTTTGGTAAAATGTTTGTTGAAATCTCAGGTTTGGTTACTAAATCAGGCCCTGATTTAGCATTCGATGAACTCTTGAAAGAAACGGCATACACTGGATGACTTAAAACGTCGAATGTGCTTTGAATATTCGAGATCACCGAAGCGGTTGCTGTGTTATCACTTTTTGTTAAATTAAATCTGCTTTCATCGGATTCGTTATCAATAAGGCTTGCACTGGAATATACTGAATTACCTGAATCTTGAATTTCAGCATACTCGTCATCAATCATTGGCATTGAGAACTCTGACCTTTCATCTTTTGTACTCTTTTGTGCATCATTCACACTGAAACCATGCTTATCTGAACCTTCAATGCCATCAACTGTAAATATCCTACTCTGTAATGTACCTTTTGATACGTTCCCTATATTCATTATTGTATATCCTTTTGGACTAAGTTCATTAGTACATACATTTGTCGATTTTGATGGCATGGAAACATCATTGCTATCTTCTATTTCGTCATAGTCAACATCCATTGGGTATCCCTGACCTACAATCACTTTTGCCATATCCATAGCATCAGCAGTCTCGTTTTGAATCTCTCTGTTAAAATTATGTTCCTCAATATCTGTGCAGTTTTCAGATTCGTGATTTATATTATATTTACTATTTTCATGTTTACTCTCGTGTTGAGTTTCTTTGTATTTACCACTCTTTTTTTCTGAGCCCGGTTTTGAACCCCCTATTTTATCTTCCATATCATCATAGTTGTCAACATTTCTCAGTGTTTGACTGTTTTTAATTTTGTATAGTTTAGATTTTTTACTCTGTTTCTTGTCTTTCTGAGTAACGCTGTTGCTGAAACACACTTTATTCTCAATGTCATCATAATCTTCTCTAGATGCTTTTGTTTCGCCTTCGCCTCCAATTGCAAAATTTCCTTTATTTTCTTTTAATGCATTTTCTGTTGAGATGCCTTTAATATTATCCGTGTCGACATGATATGGTGGATGTTCAGCTCCGTGCACATTGTGGTTCACATTGGATGCTTCTTTGAAGACAAAATCACCTTTGTTTTTCTTGTCGGACTTGCTGTAATGAAAATGTCTATCAAAAGTTTTGCCAGTCTTCAACCAAAAATTGAATGTGGCACATCAACATCGAAACTATATACAATAAGTGAAACAATGCAATTTAAATTATGAAATTTGTTTCAACTGTTAAGTATAAATATCAAAGTTATTATGACTTCTTCATGCTGAAATACTGAAATGTCGACTGATAATAATTTTAAGATGGTGTGAACAGTCAGATAAAAAAGTATGTAATTATTCAACTCTAGTCCTAATATTTAAAACGGTTTCGATTCATAAGGAACATACATGCCCGGGGGGATGTTACTTCAATACTTAATTGATAGGGGTACCACTGGGGTTCTGCTGCCCCACCCTTTTCATATAATTTAGATTTTTAAATGAACACCTTTTCACATATTGTGTGGGTTGTGTTTGGTGTGTTGGAAAAGTGCAATACCAAAGTGTCAAAAAGGGAAAAGTTTTGGATAATAACACAGCCGGGAACACCAAGACGGATGACAGAAGAATTTCATTGACTTTATCATATATTTCTGATAGTTTTTCCCCACCTATTTAAATATTTTCAAGCTGGAAAATGTGACCTATTCCAGCGGCACGTCCTATCTACCGCCTTGTATATAAGAAGTCCACAACCCTCCTCCCCGAGTATAAAAGATAGGTTTTAAACAATATGAATGTAAAAGTTGTGGTGAATGGTAGACTGCTTTTCATTTTTAAAATTCGGGAACTTCATACTCATACTTTTTACTGTGCGTATTGCTGTGTGTTTGTTTATTCTACATGACTAGTGGTATAGGGGGAGGGTTGAGATCTCACAAAACACGTTTAACCCCGCCGTATTTTTGCGCCTGTCCCAAGTCAGGAGACTCTTGTCTTTGTTAGTCTTGTATGGGTTTTTTAAATTTTGGTTCATTTATATGTTTCGGAGTGTAGTGTGACGTCCATTTTTACTGAACTAGTACACATTTTTGTTTAGAGGCCAGCTAAACCCGCCTCCGGTGCAGGACTTTCTCGCTGTGTTGAAGACCCATTGGTAGCCTTGGGCTTTTTTCTGCTCTTTGGTCGGGTTGTTGTCTCTTTGACACATTCCCCTTTTCCATTCTCAATTGATAAGATATACATTGTTCAGTAAATAAAATATTTTCCCATCATACCGGATTCAGTCCTAATTACAGTAATACAAAAAATAATAAAGAAGTCCAGGCTATTATCAAAATTCATTCTCATTTTTTTTGTCTGTCAGCATTGCAACATGTGCCAAATATATCAGATCCAGTATGTGGGTTTTTCGGAGAATTGTTGTTAGAAAAACTATAAAGTAGAATACATTTCGCAAAACAATTTGTTTATCTGAACAGACTCCGTTCTCCTCTCTGTTCTGGTACTTATCACATCAGCCAAAATTTTAAAGGTGTGTATCAATACGTCAAAACCAGAGGATTCCGGAAGATCTTTCAAACAGAACGTAGAACTGGGCGTTCTCAGATCCTTGAAAATCATATCAATGCCTCTTTAATAAACAAAGACAATAAACACATTATTAGATATATGTGTTGCTAGAGGTGAAATCAAATACCAGTCCAAACGTATTGTGGTTTGAAAAACCAGATAACACAATTTCAAGGATCATTCGGAAACTTTTCACCCTTTAATTATCGGATAGAGCTTTAAATTTGTACATTGTCGGAGTTCGTGTTTTCTCAATCTTTCGTTTGTTTAGTGTTTTGTGGACCTTTTTTGTTTTCTTTTTTTGACTTTTTACTATGGTGATATTTGTTTTTCGTTGATTAATGTTCTTCGATTGAGTTTGGTATTTTCTTTTCCTTGTTTAAACATTCATATTCAAACTTACCTGATCTTGCACACAATCATAGCCAGAATAACAATTACTGCCAATGAAAGACTTCCAATAAGACTAAACATTAACATTAAGGTACCTGTACAAATATAAGAAAACAATAATAATATGTTAATCAGAAACTTTGTAAACTGTTGTTTGACAATTGAAGATAAAGAAAATATGTAGAAAAAAAAAAAAAAATGTCGCAATCAAATTGATAGATAGTACATCGTATGACACAGTATATCACGTGACAACTTACGTTTCAAGCATATCTCAATTTCATAAAACAGCCAGTCAATCATTTCATATTTCATAAATAGGTCTATCATACATTGAACCAATACAGAATACCTCTTTCTGTGGTCAATGCTTATCAGTTAAATAGGGAAAATGCTTCTTGCCTTTTTGTCTATTTACACCATGTGTTGCTTTTAGTTTCACAGGCACCAGAAGAAAAACCTTCAGGTGCTTCGTGTATTTCATATTTCATAAATTGATTTTTGAACCAATGATCCAGTGAATGTTTATCCTTGAAAATTGTGAATGTTAGTGGCATATGTTTGGAGTCTTTTGTCTAAAGTTAACTTGAAACGTGTCTATACCCGGTGCGATTTTAAGCTTGGCATATTTGTTATAATTACGTGTCTATTGTTAAGAATAGGAAATTGACCTGTAGACATTTTTTCTTTGGTTTAAGTGCTTTTTTGGCAGCTTCCTCGTCGACGTATACACCATCCCTCCTTTAATAAATATTAGATGTTTTTTTTTTCCAATGTGGTTTAATTTTAATATATTGGTATGTATTTCTATCAAAGGACAATGATCACGTTGTTTGCCTTGAATTTTAACTTTATCATAAAATGTCAAACTAGCCATAATTTGGTTTCTAAATGGGTGTATTTCAAAAGCCTTACTGCTAGGTTAAACAAATCTCTTCATAAGAGTACATTCTAGGCTTCAAAGTCAGCACATGTTGGATATATTGCAAAAATACTATGACTTTGTGCATATTTCAGACTTAAAAGCTTGATGAAAGCCTTGGCCGACCGTAACCTAAAACCCAAAATGTTTTGTAACCAACAGATGTCATCGATGAGATATAATCCTTAGACACAAACATTTCCTGGATCAGGGGTGACGGTCAAAGTTAATTATGCTAAAAGCTGTTAAGCATTAATGAAAATTTGACAAAAACAGACGTTTCAACACAAATAATGCATAATTAAGTTATAATTACTTCGTCATTTACGATGAAATGTGCTAAAAAAACAAGTTATTTTGTATTAATAGTAATATGACAACTAGTGACACTGTATATGTGAAATTTGTTGTCTGATTTGAAAAAAAAACATCAACATCTTAGGCCAATTTAAACCCTTCGTCAACTTACCCCTTTTACATCAATCAATCGATTCTACAATGACTAGAGGAAAAGGGGGAGAGTAGAGATCTCACAAAACATGTTTAACCCTTCCGCACTTTTGCGCCTGTCCCATTTCAGGAACGTTTGACCATTGTTAGTCTGGTATGTTTTTTTTTAAATTTCTGTTCATTTATATGTTTCGGAGTTTAGTGTGACGTTCATTTTCTCTGAACTAGTAAACATTTTGTTTAGGGGCCAGCTGAAGCCCGCCTCATGTGCGGGATTTTCTAGCTGTGTTGAAGACCTATTGGTGGCCTCGGGCTGTTTTCTGCTTTTTGATAGGGGTTTTGTCTCGTTGACACATTCCCCGTTTCCATCCCGATGTTATTTCTTTGTTTTGTACATGTATTTAGCTAAAGTTAACAAATACCTGTAGTATCAGTGTAAGTATCTCTGTCGGTTTGCGTTTCATTTACCACTACGATGTTCTCTGAAAAAAAATATATCCTTTACTTAAGCTTTACTTATAATAAGTTTGTAAATAACATTGAATTTTCGTTATCCTATTGGGGAATGGCCTTTCTCAAATTCTTAGCCGAGTAAATTACTATTCCTGACCGGTTGATTATTTTTTTTTATATTCAACGTGTGTATCGTATGATCTCAGTTCTTCACTTTATGGCGTCTCGAAAAAAGACGACATGTATGATCACCTCACATACAAATAATACATCTGCAGGCAGATCATTAATGAAAGATAAAGTTTGCCAACATCGACTAAAAATCATCAGAGAAACAGATTCCACCACTGAATCTCGTGCAATACGATATTTCTCCACTCTCGACATTTCAATTTGTAGTATTAACAATCTCGGTGAGGCTCGTGTTCTAAATTCAAAAATTTAACTGTCTCGAATGGAGACATATCGTATCGCACTCAATTTGGTGCCGTAGAATTTACATTTACCGCCCTATTCCTGTTGAACATGTGTAATCAATCTGCTTTTTGAATATTTGCATGAGGCTTTATGTGTAATATTTCCAGAAGCATACACTAAAATTTTAACCTGGTGAATATTAAACAATGCTCTAAATATAGAAAATTCAGTCATTAAAGTGACGTGAAGAATGAACGGCAGATTCATCATTAAAGTGACGTGAGGAATGAACGGCAGATTCATCATTAAAGTGACGTAAAGAATGAACGGCAGATTCATCATTAAAGTGACGTGAAGAATGAACGGCAGATTCATCATTAAAGTGACGTGAAGAATGAACGGCAGATTCATCATTAAAAGTGCCGTGAAAAATGAACGGCAGATTCATCATTAAAAGCGACGTGAAGAATGAACGGCAGATTCATCATTAAAAGTGACGTAAAGAATGAAGGGCAGATTCATCATTAAAGTGACACGAAGAATGAACGGCAGATTTATTATTAATAGTGACGCGAAGAATGAACGACAGATTCATCATTAAAGTGACGAGAAAATGAACGGCAGATTCATCATTAAAGTGACGCGAAGAATGAACGGCAGATTCATCATAAAAGTGACGTGAAGAATGAACGGCAGATTCATCATTAATCATTCTAGAAACTCGATCATTCTAATTTGGAAATGAGAAGCCAATATAAAAATAAGGAGATGTGGTATGATTGCCAATGAAACAACTATCCACCAAAGTTTTAAAAAAATGGATGTAATCAATTATAGGCAACTGTACGGCCTTCAACAATGAGAAAAAACGCATACCGTATAGTCGGCTATAAAAGCCACGACATGAAAAAATATTAAACAATTCAATTGAGAACACTAACGACCTAATTTATAACGAAACAATTTACGAAAATACAAATATGACAGACATGAACCAACGACAACCACTGAACTAAAGGCGCCTGACTATTGACAGGCACAGAAAGAATGTGGCGCGGTTAAACATGTTTGTGAACGCCCAACCCTCCCCTTACCTGAGACAGTGGTGTAACAGCACAACGTCATGAACATAAGAACAAACTATAAAAATCAGTTGAAAAAGGCTTAACTCATCAGATCGATACAAAACAGAAAAATATTAAACAAAAACACAGACTGGACGTGGCAGGGTATTTATCCATCCCTCATCCCTAACAACACACTAAATACAGATCAGAGAGTACTCGCAGTTTCTGACTACTAGTTCAAAGCCAATAACAACTAATAAAAAAAATCATGTATCTAAGACTAAAAACATATATTTTAGTAATGTCGACTTATAAATCCGTCATGAGATAATAAAATTTCAACGGTATTTTCAAATCATTGTATTAATTGAAAGTAATACTTCATTTTACTGAAAGGCAACTGATGAGCAGTACTGAATTGTCTAGTACATGTAGTTAAATAAATGAACAGTTTCAAATTTACCGTCAGAAAAATTTCAGAGAAATGAAAGTTCGGATATTTCAGATGATTTTAAAATCAGAATTGGTATTGTAGACTGAATTAATTTACAAATGTTATTAATATACACAACTAAATGTACTCACCAAATCTACACATAAATGTACGTGTATCCATACATTTACCAGAACGAACTAATGAATTATTCATATCCATATACTGGCACATTAGTGGATTAAATGATAATCCTTTGTCTGAGAAAAAAAGCATAATATATTAATAAACATAACTAATAATATACACAGATATATGTATGTATAAACGGTTATCATACAGCAATCCACCAATGTTAGTTAAATAAAATAAAAAATGTGTTTCTGGAGGTCATGATACGGTCTAAATTATGGAAGCAAACAAAAACACACGCAAATTGTTTATTTGACGTGGATACTAAGAAATTCTATACAAACTTAATAGTACTACAAAAAAAAAATCCGCGACAAGCTAATTTTTTTCAATGATTTAGACTTTCATGGAACAGTGTAGGAAAGTATTTCGGTTTTAAATAATTCGACGACCTTTACTGCATGTTAATATAATAATATTAGTTTAACTTTTCCCCCTTTTAACCTAAAGATCATGTCTGTTCAAACTCGGTTGGATCGTGGATGTACTATATTGACGTGAATATAATACTTCCATGGTTAAATGGTGTTCGCTGATAACACTTTAACCTCCACTGAATACTGTGTAACCTGATTTCTCCCTGTTAAAACTCTTCAAGTAAAACAATTATAGCCGGCCGATTAAACTCATGCAATTGGTACATATAGAAATTAGTGATTATGTCCCTTCGATCCTATTTTATTTATATATTTGCATTATAGCATCGTCCAATAATGATTTAACGTTATTGTTAATCTCATTAAGCATGTCAAGGATGTACTTAGGTGAGGTTTTGGAATTTGTGATAAATGTTCGGACTCCTTGGTTTTTTTCCTACGATACAGGGTAAAATATTTTGCCCCATAACACCCATTTATCTTTTCATACAAGACTTCAATAGCTCATAAAAGGTTATTAACCAAAATTCAAGCAGATTCTAGATTTCTTTTCTTTCGATTCGAGACCCAAATAATACCAATGCAAGTATAGGGTAAAAGTCCGAGTCAGCAGAGGTATCAACACAGTGTTAGAAAACAGCAGAGGTTATCTACACAGTGTTAGAAAACAGCAGAGGTATCTACACAGTGTTAGAAAACAGGAGAGGTATCTACACAGTGTTAGACAACAGCAGAGGTATCAACACAGTGTTAGAAAACAGCAGAGGTATCTACACAGTGTT